AACTCAGCTGCCATAAGAATCACATTTTCAGGAACTTCTCTATTGCCCATCATCCCCTTTAGTTCCTTCTCAGCTTCTAAAACCCTACCTAAACCCACCCAAGCCTTCAATGCGATATAACCAATGCTCGGGTGCTCTTTTCCTTCTCTCTTCTCTGCTCCTCTTAGTACTTTCACACACTTCAAAACCCCTTCAAAATCCTCAGTTTGTAATCTTTCTGCTGCTAGGAACCGAAGGCATTTGCCTTTCAGTGCTTCAAGGTCTAGGGTTAAGGTTTCGGTTTTAGATGACAAGATCCCCTTCTCACATAGATCCAAAGCTTCAGACAATAGTTTTGATGCATCCATATAGGTCTTTGAGATTCCATGTTTGCCAAACTGTAGAAACTGTTCTGCTAGGGTTTTGTAAGCTGATGGAGATCCAAAAATCAAGTTTTTGGAACGATTTAGAAGCATTACGGCGAGATTTCGATCGGACATCTCCCATGCTGTCCTGGATCTAGCAAGATTGAGATCGAGAAGCAGTTTCTTCTCCTCCTCGTCTTGGATCTGATCGATCTTAACTGAGGAGACAAGATCTGCGGCCTTCTCGAAGCAAGTAGAGGCGAGATCGAAGCTGTTGAGATCGTGCCAAATGAGACCTGCCTTACAGAAGAAAGACGCCGACTTAAGCTCTGGTTTGGGGATTCTGGTGGGGTTTCCCGCCAAAATGAGTAGATCCGCTGCTATTTGGCGGAGATCGGCGAGACTTCGATCTTGATCACAATTCTCATCTCGATCCTGACGATGGCTAGGGTTTTGGTGGAGTGCATTGGATAGATCGACACAGGCGTTCCAGAGACGGTAGCTGAGCTTCCAGATCTGGAGCTTGGTGGAATCGGAAAAGGGTTGGGAGGAGGAGAGAAGTGAGAGGGTAGTTCGAAGACCTAGGGTTAGGGTTTGCGGTAGAGGTTCCGACGACGGAGAGAGGGATTCGAGGGATTTGATAGAGGACTCAAGGTCTGAGAGTAGATGAACGTGGTGATTGGACTGTGGGCTGGAGGCGGCTCTGGCGGCCGAGGAGGTTGTTGGTCGGAGGTCCGGCGAGATCTCGGCGATTCGCATTTGGGAGCTTATTTGATTTTGGCGGGAATTAGGGGACGATTTTTGGTTTGGGGGGTAAAGGATACAGTGTCTAAATTGGTTCACTGGTGTAAAACTTTATATCTGCGCCAAGTGTAATCTTTGCAGGCTGCGCTGCAATAGTGCTGACATTTGCAATACTCTCACGCTACGTTTGGGAACTTTGCTTTAGATTTAGGAACTTTAATTTAAAATCAAGGGATTTTAAATTTAGGATTTAAAATCTATGATTTAAAAAATCTTTTGTTTGGATATCTTTATTAAATGAAATGATTTGAAATCTTTGATTTCAAAATCTAGTATTTGGGTGCTTTATTATACATGAATTTGAATTTAAAATTGATGAAAATTTATTCTCTTAACCCATCTTGTTTACATCAATTTGAATTTAAAATTGATGAAAATTTATTCTCTTAACCCATCTTGTTTACATCAAATGCAATGGAGATGTGTAAAATAGTAACCAAAAAACACAAATTTAGGTAAGTTGATAACTAAACTCATCTCTGATACTTTACGAGGCCCCAGCAAACAGATAAAACACTTCATATAATAAGTATCTTTTAATTTTTTCGTTAACGTACTTGGACATCACTTTGATATACTCTCCACTAGTATCTTTCACAAAGACATCCAATAAAAGAGCAAATGTACCAAACCACAAAACATCATATGCCAATATATTGGAGTACACTATAAGCCACAATCATTCACCATAGAAGCAAACACCACAACAAGTGACAATGAGAAACAAAAAAGGTGACACCAAAGCACAAGCACTCTCAGCACAATATCACGCTTGATCTGCGAAAAAAAACCATAACGTTAACATTAGAAAAGCCTGAGACTGCTTATGAGAAAAACACACTGGATATAAAATGCTCTCAGAACATATATGACACCTTCTGTTGCAATAGATCACCATAACACACAGACCAACTAAGTAGAAAAACAAATAATATTGAGAAGGTAAAGGTGGCATTCACAATTAATGCAGTTCAATTGAATGACAAGTAGAAAAACAAATAATATTGAGAAGGTAAAGGTGGCATTCACAATTAATGCAGTTCAATTGAATGACATGCATGTATATATAAGTTGACATGGTGTAGAAATTTGCTAATCAAGTTGTGAGAAGTACAAAACTGAGGAAAACTCTCTAAACTTATCTTAATTTGCTAATCAAGTTGTGAGAATTTTGCTAATCATGTATATTTTCTTAACATATCTTAGAAGCCACTGCTGCTATTACTCAAACTGAGGAAAACAACGCACAACGAAAACTCATATGAAGTAGGAAAATTAAAAGACACCGTGAGTCTTGGCTTTACCTCAATAATTGCTCCCTTGCCGGCCGATTCAACAAAATTTGATTTTTCACATTAAAAAACAATCAATCAAGTACTAAAAATGATGCATAGGATAAGAACTCACAGCAAATCCCCTGCCAAGAGGCGTCTCAAGAAAATCACTCAGCTCCTTCCTATACTGCAAAACACCAATAAATAGAAGAGATAAGCGAAAAAAAGAATAAAAAAGGAAAAAATAGTACACAAAACCCTAATGCATTCATAAGAAATCATCAAAAAATTAGAAATATTCAGTTAAAAATATTGTGAAGAATAACATTGAGATGAAGAAAAGTAGTCCGACCTGAAAACTAGAAACTACTCCTTAAGAATAAAGAGAATAAAATCTCTTTTTTCATCATCAGGAAGTGACTTCAACAAATAAAACTTTTCCGGGTTGCTATCCATTATCTTCTCAAATGCATTGAACACTTGAATGCGACTTAAGTTGGGTATTTTTTAGACCACTTGATGAATCTCCTCTGCGGTTGGTGGTTTTCTTACTACTTCCTTCTTTCTCTCATTAAAATACTCACTCACAGAAGCTGCCATCAGTGCAAGTGAATCAACTGTTTTATCCTCATTCTTTTGTTTCTTTGAGCTTATCTCACCACTAGTTGATGCTCTAGGAAGATGTTTCCTTGAAGAGCTTCCACCTTCATTTGTTTCGGATTGTGCCTTAGATTCCTCATGTTGCATTGCATTAGCAGCCTCTTCAAAGGTTTCTGCACCTTCACCATTGGCTCTATCTTTTGCACATAACACCATAATGTCATCCCAACTTTCAATCAAACGATTCTGGTAGCCTTTTGCATCTAGATTAGCCTACAATATAAAAATATTCACAAATATTTTTAGATATATGCAATAAACTAATAATTCAAATTAATAAGTATAAAGTGCGATATTAGCGAAACATAGTCGCTCCATACTTTTTGCTCACTAGCGGGTATAATCACCATTTTCTTCTCATCATCTCACCACGTCAAACCACTTTTATTTTTAATGTCATAGATAACATTATAATGTGTTTTCCAAATTTTGAGTCGATTCTTCACGATATCTTTGTTCAAGTTGCTATTAAATGATTTTAGTGCATCAACCGCAACTTGATACACTTGAGGCTTCCAAGTACCATCGACTTTTAATCCTTGGTTCATTTGATCGTACAACACATTGGCTAAAGCTGAGTCCATATCACGATTCCACACAACATATGATCTCGACTTAGATGCAATTTGTTTCCCTTTCTTTGTCATCCTAATACATACCAAAGTGAATGATACAAAATTAGTAATAAAGCACAAAGGTTGATTAATAATGAACCTTTGACATTGTAGAATGAAGGCACGAGGAAAAGGTGATGGCTATAAGTGTAAATAGCTACTGCAAAGTCTGCAAGCAATGAACAAAACAATGTTACTCCAATATTCAAAGATCTTAAAACTTATCAAAGACATAAAATTATTCATAACTGCTGACCAACTTTAGCATCAAATCTTATGGATGCTAGCCCCCTCTCAAAGTCGGTATTCATCCCACATTTGCATAGCTAAATCATCTCTAAAGTTACTCCATTCATTTGTAACTCTCACAGTGGTGATACGCTCCTCATCTACATTCTTAATTTCTAAAACAGGATCATCTTCTAATTCTCGATCCACATCATTCAACAAGTCGTCTTCATTCATCTCTTCACGTAAAAAATTGTGAAGAATACAACATGCATTAATGATCCTAATTTGAGTCTTAACACTATAAAAGCTAGCTGTCTGTAATATAGCCCATCGCTTTTTTAGCAATCCGAATGCCTTCTCAATTGTGTTTCTAGCAGAGGAATGACGTTGGTTAAATAACTCCTTGTAGTTTCTTGGACCATTTTCTCTCCAAGACTTTATATGATAGCGAGTCCCTCTATAAGGTGCCAAAAACCCCGGCCCATTTGTATACCCAGCATCCACAAGAAAGTATTTATCTATAAAATCAAAATCTTCAGTCATAACAATGTAAAAACTAGGAAGCAATACATATATAAAAATTAAAAAATTATATTCCTACTTGAGGGAGGTTTCAAGCCATTGGGTCGACACAAAGCATCACGCAAAATACGAGAATCTGATGTTAAACCCTCCCAACTAGGTAGCACATATGAAAATCTCAAATTGGCATTACAAACACCTAGTACATTTGTATTGGTCTCTCCTTTTCTATTTCAATATCTACTTTGATCTTCCAAGGGAATAGTTAATTGGATATGAGTCCCTGATGCGGCATAAACATATACCAAAAAGTTGCAAGTGCACAACTAATCAAGTTATAGTATAAAGAGTTATCGATCCCACGAGGAAAGTGTTTTGTAGGAGGAAATATAAAATCGGTTCTTATGTTGTGTGCGTGACAAATAGGAGTGATGAGTGAATGTGATTGTGGAGAGATAATGACAGTGAAAGTGATAGTGTAAATCAATGTTTTTGAGAATGGATGTGAGTAAAAAATAAATGTGATCAACAAGGCAAGAAGGAAGAATGAATAAAATCGAGAAACAAATAAAAAAAATTAAGAATGTAAAGATAGCGGATTCAATTAAAGATATGGATAATCTAGAATTGAATCCACTTCTTAGAAAAAGGTGATTCCCTAGAGGGTTCTAGCCTAAAGGCGAATCAAAGAAAGTGAAAATCCAAAAAAAAAGAAAAACTAAACCCAAGAGGGTTCTAGCCTCAAGGTGAATAGTGCAAGAAATTAAAATCTAACTATAATATAAATTGCAAAATCTAAACTACAAGATAAATTGTAAGAATTAAATACAAGAAAATAAATCTACTCTATTAGCATGAAATAAATCTAATCTATGAGCATGAAATAAATCTAAGGCAAGAGGGTTCTAGTCTCTTGGCTATAGCATGAAATAAATCTAATCTATGAGCATGAAATAAATCTAAGGCAAGAGGGTTCTAGTCTCTTGGCTATTTAAACAAGAAAATAAAATCTAATTACAAGTATGAAAATAAATCTAAACTAATAAGCAATAAAAGAGGAATAAGAAAAACAAACCTTCAAATTAATCTCCATCTTCATCTTCATCTTCATCATCTAACAAAGAGAAGAAGAGAAAAATTTAAAGTGGTGAAAAAATTATTTTATTAATTGTAACAAAAAGTTATAAATTTGGAAGGCCTTCTCAATTAAGAGTAGCCCTCATCTTCAAAAGGAGTTACAAAAATTTTCACCCCTTTAACCCCTCACTCTCTACCCCTATTTACAGTAAACATAAGTGAATGAGAGCCATTGGATCAAAATCTTATCCAAAAAATCATAAATTTCAGTCTTAGATTCGTAACAGAATGACTATGGCATCGATACCAGCATCGATAAGGGTATCGATGCTGGCATCAATGCCCAGTGCGCTGCAATTGCAATTTGCAGCTTTTTCTTCTTTTATGCTTTGGGCTTGGGTTTCTTTGGCATTTCTTCTTCTTTTGGGCTTTCATGCTTGAGTTCTTCATTTAATTAGTGGGCTTCATTGAAAGAAGAGATATTGGGCTTTTATTTTTAATTAACCTGCAATTAAAGATAAAAATAATTATTAGTGATAAATTTATTCATATAAACTAGATAATGAGAGTATAAAATTATAATAAAATATGATTATCAAATACCCCCACACCTAAACTTTTGCTAGTCCTCTAGCAAAGAAAGAAAAATGAAAGAAACCTAACTCACTTTCGCAAGAATCACGGTTGTATTTAGCGCATACAACAAGCCTTTAAACGCCTAGGTTACCCTAGTGAACGAGTTGTAGTCTCGTGAGGGTTTGCAGTGAATATACCCACAAAATTCGGTCAACTTGCCAAATTAAAGAAGTTAGTAAATAACTAACTTTACTTGATAATTGAAGCTAGTTATTACTCAAGAAAACATTTTTATATATAACTCTAAGGTAAATTTTTTAGAAAATCTTCTCATTATAGCAGTACAAAAACTAAGCCAAACTTAGAAATTTAATTTAAAAGTTTGGAAAAGAACATGCTAACTCTTTGTTTAAAATAATAGTCAAGTTGTTTGATCTAAAATATTTTCCATGACCATATATACAAATATAACTATATATAAAACATTTATTAGTATTTTTATTTTTATTTTTTTATATTATTATTATTATTTTTAACTCTTTTTTCCTTAGTGATATTTTTTCTACTTTAACGGGCTTTCTAAGCGACCATTTAACGAGTTTTGAGCCAATAGATCCCAACCCAATTGGGTTTAGGTTATTAAGTATGGAAATACTTATTGGGCTTAATTACTCGATCAGCTTAGGCTTTATAAGATAGAATTACCTTGAATTTAAGAGTTTTTTTTTCTTTTTCTTTTTTTTCTTTTTTTTTCTTTTTTTTCTTTGGTGCCCATTTTTTGCACTCTACTTTTTGCAATTTTTTTTATATGTATATGTGTATATATTCTGAAAAATATGTAAGTCAAGCCACTTTGAAGAATTATTTTTAACTCTAAGCTAAGCATGTATTCCATTATTTTATATAAAAATCTAAGTTAAGGCTTAAGTAAAGTATACTACTTTGAAAATCATTTCTTAAGAACTTTATTTAGAGTTACCATAAAAAGTGAACTTGAGTAAATATCAGATTAGAAAATTTAAAATTTATCAAATAAATCAATTATTACATAACTCTATTAATTTGGCAAGTGACGATATTTTTATAATTTTTTTTTGGAAAAGGAAAAAAATGACAAAAATGCAAAAAAAAAAATGTAAAACAAAGAGAAAAAAATAACTAATTCCCACCCTCACACCTAAATTTTACATTGTCCTCAATGCAAACTATATGATGCATAAAGTAAAGCAGATAAGAACTGAAATATTTACATTTGGTCGGCTGATAAAAATCTGTAATTACCTTTGGTCTGAGGAGGATGGAAACAAAAATTTATTCTTCTTTCTATTTTTTTCTTTCTTTTTTTTTTTTTTTTTTCTCTTCTTTTTTTTCTTTTCTTTTTTTTTATTTTTAAAAAAATTTTTTTTTTTTTTTTTTTTTTTTTTTTTTTTTTTTTTTTTTTTTTCTCTTCTTTTTTTTCTTTTCTTTTTTTTTATTTTTTTTATTTTTTTTCAACTGAATAAGAAACTCTTGATTGAGAGAAGAATAAATTCTTTTTATTATTCTAAAATAAACAAAACAAATAATGTAGAATGAAGTATTCAACACGAAGAGCTCGTATTCTACATTGAATCCTACCTTATTGTTGAAAATTCTTTCCCGGATTTTAAATAAATTCAGATTGATATAATCAATAATGTGAAATTCCAAGCATTTTAAGGTAGGTATTATTGGTGTCATGCATTTTGCATTTCTTAATGAACTTAGACTCTTGTACTGTGAAGTTTTGTTTTCTAACAACCAATTCTTCTGTAGAGTTCTAAAAATTTGGTTGTTGATTATTCTTCAAGAATCTAAGTTCATCAAGAAAGAGTTCTTTAAATTTTAATTCAAAGCAGCAAATGTTTAACACAGTTTTACTATTCTCAAGGACCTGATCTGCTTCTTCTAAAAACTCTAACTCTTCATCAAAAATTTCCTCAAAACTCAAATCAGACTCTTCTTCTTCTTCTTCTTCTTCTTCTGATCTTTCCTGAATGTAATTTATTTTTAGAGGCTGATTATTTGGTTGGTCTCCTAGATTAAAAATGTTAAGATCAGCAGTCAAATTCCCAATGGACAGCTTTATTTAACCAGTTCTACAGTTGATGAGAGCATTAGAAGTGGCTAAGAAAGGTCATCCTAAGATGACAGGTGTCTGTCCTTTGGGATTGGAAACAGGCTGTGTTTCTAAGACTACAAAATCTATTGGAAAAATAAAATCTCCAACCTTAATCAGAACATCCTCTAACTCACCCATAGGGACCTTAACAGATCTATCAGCCAACTGTAAGATGTATTTGGTTGGGTTCAGTACACCTAGACCCAATTGCTGGTAGACTGAATATGGAAGCAAATTGACACTGGCCCCTAAGTCTAAAAGCGCCTTATCAATGTGAGTATTACCAATGATACATGAAATGATGGGGGAACCTGGATCTTTACGTTTTAAATGTATGGGATTTGATAGCATTTCACTGATATTGATGGCTAAAAAGATTTTCTTTGGAACATTTATTCTCCTCTTCTTAGTGCATAATTCTTTTAAAAATTTAGCATAAGATGAAATTTGTTCAATTACATCTAAGAGAGGAATATTGACCTTAACCTGCTTGAATGTTTCTAGGATCTTCTCCTCTTGAGGGGAGTGTTTCCTAAGCCTGAGTCTATCTGGAAAGGGAGCAACTGGTCTAAACCTATCAAAAGCAGGCTCAGGTTCCGGTTCAGGTTCTTGATCATCTAAGGGGGATGATTGTTGAATAGATTCATCAGAAGGAGAAGGAGAAGGAATTTGTACTAGATCAATAGTTTGACTTAGAGGAGTTCTCACTTGATTATCAACTTGTCTACCTGACCGAAGTGAATGGATTGCATTCACTTGAACTTCATAGGATGAATTGCATCCTGTGTCCTTAGGATTGACCACGGGTTGACTCGAAAATTTTCCTTTCTCTCTTTCACTCATGGCACTAGCTAGTTGACCAAGTTGGGATTCTAATCTAGCTATAGCTTGAGTGTTGGAATTGAGCATTTGTCCGGTTGATTGCATAAAGGAATTCAGAGTGCTGGATGTTTGAGTCAACATATTCGTGGTTTGAGTGGAGGCCTTAATTATGGTTTCCAAACCCTTTTCCAAGACATTAAGACATTTATCCTGATCTGGATTGTGAGGAGTCTGAATTACAGCTTGATGAAGAGGAGACTGATTTTGATACGGCAGAATGGGTTGTTGAAATTGTGGATTGAAAGGAACTGTGTTTCCCCTAGAAAATTGTTGGGTCAAAGCGGGAGTGAAGTTTTGAGTTCCGGGAGAATTTCCTTGATTCCATGCAAAGTTAGGATGATTTCTCCAACCTGGATTATAGGTTGTAGAAAATGGATC